TCCCCCCGAATTTAATGCGCCTACTCTAATGTAACTTACTATAGGAAGCAACAGGATTTGAGCCATTATGTTTCCCCACATACAAGATGCTCTCTATCTCACAAAGAATAACCTACATTTCTTCTGCTTCCAACTCACACAGTTTTGAGTAGCAGTGTTAACTGTATCATAATGTGATAGCCAATCCCTTTATCGTCCATGTGTGGTGAAGGTTGGATATAACTGAGTGCAACTCAGGTTACACAGATGTCTTTGCAGGGGAGGAGCAGATAGAGAAGAAAGGACTTCCTTGGCTTTCCTAGACCGCCCTTCACCAGATCTGACCTTCACTGACCTTCCTTCCACTTAGACTGATAGGGTTGTTGATGTCACTTCCTTCATACATTTCTTTCTAGACCCTTTCTGGGAGGGGAAAGGGGAGCCAACTTCCTTTCGTTCTCAAGAGGTGAAGGGTCAGCTATAGCCTCCTGCATCTTCACTCTGTTGTTGTTTAGTTGTTTAGTCATGTCCGACTCTTCGTGACCCCATGGACCAGAGCATGCCAGGCCCTTCCACTGCCTTCCGGAGTTTGGTCAAATTCATGTTGGTAGCTTCGGTGACACTGTCCAACCATCGTGTTCTCTGTTGTCCCTATTTCCTGTCTCAATGCATTTGTCTGCTAAATACTAACTGCCTTATTTTTCTAGAATAATAAGCTGTGAGGGGCCACTGCTGGTGCCCTTGGTGAGTGTCTGTCCTCACCTTACAGCCCTGGGAGAACCCAGGAGAGATAATAATTCCCAGGCCCCTTGTAGACAAGGGGGAGGAATGACCGTCACCTACAAAGGAACTGGCTGATGAGGACCACTTGTAAGAGAAAGAGGAGGAGGAGGCAAGAGCCAGTAAAAGGAAGAAGAAGAACAATAAGGCTCAGGTGCTCCCTCCAGGATAATGGAGGGAGAGACGGAGACCTGAGGGAAAGAGGAGACACGGGGTGAGGCGGTAGGGCCTTAGAATCCTTGTTTCTCCACCTCAGTCAAGATGGAGAGCCAATGGGAAGAGAAACCAGGGGCAGAAGTCCCTGAGCCCACTGAACCTCCAACAATGGGAACAGGAGCACCCATTCCAACCCAGGTGTGGCACTGACAACTAAAGCAACAGAGTGAGAGTCAGAGGAGGCTTCAGGAGGAACAAAGACTTGGGTACCAGTACCCCCTACCTGGATGTACAGGACTTGGGGGAGGGCTGAGATGCCTCCTCCTGGTTTTCAAGGCTGGGACTCTCAGGGCACTCTGTGGCCTTAACAGGGTACCCTCTGGAAAGGACGTTCCTTGGGCGGGGGGTAGTACAGGGAATTCACCCTCCTCCAAAAGCTCATGGTGGGAACTAAAAATGGTGATCCTGTTTCTGTTGTCTCATCTGTCAAAATAAAGTCTGTTCTTGGTTATTCTCACAACCCGGAGCCCCTGGAGACATGGCTTGGAGACACAACAGCCACTGCTACCACTGAGGGTGCCTCTGGCAGCAATTACACAAGCATGGATGTGATTTCTTTCCAAAGAAGGAGCTGTGCTCTGCTAGCTACTCTGATTTTTAGTAGTGGAACCCACAACTTAGCTGAAGTTATATTATATATATAAATTATACTGTATTTTCTTATATTTTGCACGATTTTTAGAACACCACTTTAAATATCTGGCACAGTGCATTGCTGGAATCACTCACACAACTTTTATTTTTAGCTGACATTGACTTAAACTTTACATTGCAGCTTCTTCCACAGAAGTTTTCCATCCAAATAACTTTGGCCAAGAAACTAAAGTAATTGAGGAATAACCAGATATTTTTCATCTAACAACCACATTTAGACTTAGAGGGGGGAAACAGATATTATTTCCATACTTGAGTAATTTAATTAAATATAATTTGACATCTGGGCTTACTGAGGCTTATTCTGTATTCTGATACCAACCAGTGTAAAATTAAATCAGGTTAATCAAAATTATAGTGTGCTTGCTTTTATTCACTAAGCATCACTGGTATCTTATGTGAAAGGAGGCTCAAGCTGATATAAATGGAACTAACCATAGCAGGGCGGTTTGGTCCATATTGATGTAGTCCATTCAGTGAGTGGCATACTCTGTCTTCCATTGCGCTACATTTCTATGTGTCTCAACCTGTGCACATGTAACTCAAAATTGTGTAGGTTGTGAACTCTACATGCACATGGCATACCAGCTTCTTTTTGGTGGGGTGAGCATGGAGGAACATTCTCCTTTCTGATGGCTCAATTATTACTCTTTGAGCCAGCTCCTTGCATGTAGTAAAAAAATTGTCATGCAGCCCAGTTTTATGTTTTTATGGCTTTACTGATTCCTATTATCCCTTAAGTCACTGAGCTTGACTTTAAGGCATGCTTACTTGGTAGTAAACTTATGTGAACTGCACGTCAGTGCAGTTAGATTGTCCACAGCTTTCAGATTTTCAACACATCTAAGAAACATCTAACTTCACAGGACTGGTTTGTAATGTAGCTTTTATTTGTTTGTTTGTTTGTTTGTTTGTTTGTTTGTTCCATTTTTACCCTGCCCATCTAGATTCAGGAATCTACTCTGGGCTGCTTACAAAATATAAAGATAAAAACATTAAAATAACTTTGATGATAAATGCAAAGTTACTGATCCCAAAGAAATGTTTTTAAGATTGTGGTATAAGTTACTTCAGATGCAAACACATCCATTGATAGGAATGTTTTTATCATTTGCAAATTCATATCCACAACAGCAAACTTATTTTTTTTTATTCATACAGAAATCATTCACTATTCTTATTGGCTGTTTTGCTGAGTGGTGGAATAGGATGTAGCACTTCAGACTAGGCTTGAAATTTTGAATGTGACCCTTGTGTTAAACTACCCTGTTTCCCCCCAAAACAAGACAGGGTCTTATATTAGTTTTTGCTCCAAAAAACACATTAGGGCTTATTTTCAGGGGGTGTCTCATTTTTTCATGTACGGCAATCTACATTTATTCAAATACAGTCATGTCATCTTCTTCTGATTGCTGCACAATTGTGGAGGGTGGGGTTTCACTCAACTGGGTCATATTTTGGGGGGTAGGGCTTATATTACGAGCATCCTGAAAAATCATACTAGGGCTTAATTTCAGGTTAGGTCTTATATTCAGGGAAACAGGGTAGTACTGTAAACAAAAAACAAACTCCCTGAAAGCAGAAAACCAGCACAAAAGAAAGAAGATTTCCCTACAGTTTTCTACTTGCAGGGAAATTTTCAAATGTGGAGGGACATTTAAAGAGATGTCTCCCATATTTTCCAGCAGTGTGATTGAAAACAAGCATGCTAGCAACACTCATCATCATCCCTTGCAGGCTTACTCAGATCCAAATTTAAACTGAGACTATCCTGGCAAGGCCAAAGCATTGTGCTGCTATTGAGGAGAAAAAGGCCCTCTCCCTAGCATGTACTGAAGAGGGCATGTAACCACAGTTAACTTTGGAGTCTTACTTCAACAGAGTCATGTCTTCTACCACACTCAGCAGAAGCTGAGGATTAGAAGAGAAGTTATATGACACATATGAGAAAGAAATGACCTGTGGTTGAGCTTAGAAATAACTTCTTACCAAAAAGAAGTTATTTACTACAATTATTAGCTTTTTCCAATTAAACTGCAAATGAGGTACTCTGACTGGAACTTAACAAGGGATAGCATTGTTCCTTTTGCAGTTTAACGTTAAACTTTCAATTGCTTTTGCAGTCGTAAGCCCCAGTACTTTTAAAAGTTATTTTTCTAGTTACAAAGGGTGGCCTCAACAAACAGCGGAGGAAGAAAATCACATGGTTCAAGTGCTGGCCTATGCAGCTACATTCAGATAATTTTGAGACACAACGTTACTTTAAAAATGGCAAATAGAAACTATCTGAATGAGGGCTTGACGCCCCAAATTGTAAGTTGTTATCTTTTTCAAGTAACTGAACTGAGGCTCCACAAAAATGGCTGCTGGATTGCCACCACTGACACTCTCTCTTCCAAATTGAAGTGTCTGTTTTGCATTCTGCGTATGGTCCGAGTAAGCCCACATTCAGATTATGCACATACAGTATGCCTTGCGTGCGGATCTTACATGTGAATTGGAAAGACTACAGATGCACCTGCAATTTAACATACGCAATCATTCACAAAGGTGTCAAATCTTAAAGAATGAAGAATTCTCCTTAGGGGATTGTGTGAATTTGTGAAGCATCCTTTGTGGTTCTCAAACTGGGGTCCCCAGATGTTCTTGGACTGCAACTTTCAGAAATCCTGGCCAGCACAGACAGTGGTGAAGACTTCTGGGAATTGCAGTCCCAGAACATTTGGGGACCCCAGTTTGAGAACCTATCAGGCCTGTCCCTGGTAAACAGCAAGTTAACCTCATTCGCTGAAGAGAGAAAAGTTACCCTTTTGGACTGCAACTCCCCAAATTCACCGTCGTCCACTCTGGCAGCCCCTACACGGGGGATAAGATTCGTGGAGCTGCATCCTAAGTAGGCATAGCTTTCCTTAGAGCTGATTTCTGAGGCGAGTTATCTCTGATTCCTCCCCCACCAGGGTTCTGTTTATTGGGTGTGTGTGTGCAAGGATAGATGGACCGGCCATGGGCACAATGCCTGAGGGGTACAATGAGAAGCTGAGGTGAATGTATTCAGTGCGTCAATGTTGGCAAATAACCCCCAGCGGTCCATCATGTGCACCAGCTCGAGGCATGACATAAACTCAAGGGTTCGGGTTGTGTGTTTTGTGTCCCCTCCAAGTCGAGATTTCATCCCTGGCCCCCCTTCCTCAGTTCCCCTCCGTCCGTTTCTTTCGCGTTACGGTTCCTCCACAGGGAGGCGCCCCGGCGAGAAGCGCCGCCCGCCTTCCCTTCTCTCTATCTCTCTCTCTTTCTGCCCGGGGTTTCTTATCTCGCAGGCTCCACCCTCCTCGCCAAAATGCCTGGAAAGAAAAAAGCTGCGCGGAGCTGGCGGGAGCCTCGTTGCCTTTCGCGCCCTGTAGCTGTCGGTGCCGGAGAAGGAAAGAGAGGGGGGGACGACCTCTTCCCCGCCCGCCCTTTGGGATTCTGGAAGAGAAGGCTCGCCCGGTTGAGAGCCCGCCTGCTCGGACTACCTCCTTCGCGCGCCTTTCGGCATCACCTTCTGGTCTCCACTTGGAGCTAACTCGGGACGCACTTTCCCGCCTGTGGCAGCATCAGCCTCTGGCCTCGTGGCGAAGAGTGAAGCAGGTAGGAGAGAAGCGGTGCGGTTTTTGACATTTGCAGGCTGCAAAACTTGAAGGATGCTTTTTCTCAGCCTTCCCTGTTCAGTGCAGCTCTTGCAAATTTTGCCCTAGGAGGAAGATTATTGCTGGTGTGCAGCAGCAAAGCTAATCGCTTAGACAAAAACGGCTTGGATTGTTTTTCCCCCCTCTCCTTGGGGTCTGCCTTCGTGTGGTTCTTATGCTTTTTCATTGCTCCAGCAGGATCTCTTGGATGGGGCATTTCGGGGCTTGGTGGTCCGGTGGCCCCTTCGCTCCGCTCTGCTTATTGCTGCCTTCCCTGCTGCTGACCACATTCAGCCCTATCGGGAGTGATTGTCACAGGGCTTGGCCCGGAGTTACTCCGAAGTCGGAGGACTGCTTTCGACGAATCTGTACTTTCAGGCTGGGGGGGCGGTTTTTGGTTGGGTATGTTAAGAATAACAAGCTGGTTTCAATTCTCCAGGGCTGCTCAGGATGCTAGCCAAATACAGGAATGCTGCTAAGAGCGTTTTTTCAATTAAAGTTGTGGCAAACTTCTCAAATGTGGAATCACTTGGTTCAATGAATTGCGTGCTTTTAATCTCTCCTGCTAAGCTCTGCGTTGGCAGCAGCGGTGGGCTTGGAACAGTTGTTTCTTTGGACTACACGTCCGAGAATCCCTGGCAAGTGTACCCAGGGGTCATTTGAGTTGGGAGCATTCTGGAAGGTGCAGCCCCCCCTCCAAAAAAGTAACTTTTCTAAACTCTAGTTCAGGGGCAAGTAACTAGTCTCCAAGCGCTATACTGAGGAGATATTTCAGCTAGAAGAAACACAGGTGGGGATGGTGAGTTGTCTTTTCTTCTCTCTGATCAAGGCAAGGCAGTTCAGTAGACATGGGTACTTACAAAGAACCCTGCTAACTGAGACCAAAGACCTGGCTAGCCTAGCATCTTGTTTCCTGCAGCAGCCAGCCAGCCAGATGCCTGTGGAGACAGTATGTGAAAAAAAGGTCTGCTGCTTGGTTTCCTAAGAGCAGATGCTTGGAAGCATGTTGCCTCTGATCTTCTAGGTGGCAACAGCCATCACAACAGGTGGCCTTTTGTGGCTTCATGAATGCCTCTGGTCCTTTCTGACTGAAATCATTTTAGTTGGCAGCTGTCAGTCTATCTTGTGATAGTGAGTTCCACAGTTTATCTTTAGGAGGTTTGTCTGTTTGAAGTCTCCAAACATTTTTTCAGAGGGCAGTCCTCCCACCACAGCACTAAAATAATCCAAGTAGGAAGTAATTTAGGCATGTACAGTAGGACCCCTGAACACTGTGGATACCTGAAACTTCTGATATGAGGGGGCCATAGAGACAACATACACGGGGATGGGGCAAAAGCCACAAGGGGGCATCCTTGTCTGTTGTATATAGGACGATGGCAAACCACAGATAAGTGAAACCATGATACCTATCTCATGGATACTGTAGGGGGTCCTGCTGTATCACTGTAATCCGATCACCCATCTCCCAGAATGAGCACAATTGGCACACTAGCTTTAGTTGTGCGACTGTCCTCCCACTTACTGCCTAAATCCTAGAAGTGCAGGACAAGCTGAAAATTTGAGTGTTAGGGATGACCCATCCAGTACAGACTGAGTCCCTATCTCTTGATCTGTCTTTTGACTGACCAGGAGGGTCTCTTTCTAAGGACTCTGGAAACTAGGTTTGCCTTGTACTGGTAAATGTTGTAAAACTGAAAGCCACCACCCATGTGCTGGACACTTGCCTTTCCTGGCTTATAAAAAGCAGCCAGAGGGGGACTGGTTGAGTGGGTTAAGGGAGTGGTGAATGCCTCCTTGCAGCAAAGCAGGGTACCAGCATGCCTAAAGGAGGCAGGAGTAAGTACTTTGCTTAAAAAGACCTTCTTGAATCCCACCTCATTGAATAATTATCGGCCAGTCTCCAGCATTCCGTTTTTGGGCAGGGTTTGGTGGCATCCCAGCTCAACAGGTTCCTGGACGATGCGGACTGTCTAGATCCATTTCAGACTGGCTTCAGGCCTGGTTATGGAACAGAGACAGCTTTGGTGAATGGCCTGAACTGGGAACTGGACAAGGGAAATGTGCCCCTGCTGATTCTTCTGGACCTCTCAGCGGCTTTCAGTACCACCAACCATGGTCTCCTTCTGGGGCACCTTTATGGGATGGGCCTTGGAGGTCCTGTCTTACGGTGGTTCCAATTCCTCCTTGATGGATGAACTCAGAAGGCGGTGTTGGGGGAATCCTGCTCGACACCTTGTTCGCCTGTGGTGTCTCCCAGGATTCAATTCTGTCCTCTATATTATACAACATGTACATGAAACCTCTGAGAGAGGTTGTCTGGAGTTTTGGGGTTTGGTGCCATTAGTATGCTGATGATGCCCAACTCTATCTCTCTTTCCCATTCAATTCCAAGGAAGCTGTTCTGTACCTAGACCAGTGCCTGTTGTCAGTAATGGACTGGATGAGGCCGAACAAACTGAAACTTAATCCAGATAAGACTGGGCTGCTCCTGGTCATTCACAAGGCAAATCAGAAGAGAGGGATGTGGTCCGTAATAGATGGGGTTACACTCCTCCTGAAAAATCAAGTTCACACCTCGAGTAGGCTGCTGGATTTAACCCCGAGCTTGGATGCACAAGTCTCAGTGGTGGCCAGGAATGCCTTTTCACAGCTGAAGCTGGTGCACCAGCTGCATCTGTTCCTTGAGATGTCCCATCTGGCCATGGTGCAACATGCCTTAATTACATCTTGTCTGGATTGTAGTGAGTCACCTTGGATCCTCTATGGGGAGAAAAATAGCACAGAAAATAAATATAGATAGATAGATAAGTAAAATACTGTAGAGCTGAGGCATAGGGTCCTTTGTCAGGTGATCTTTAAAAAAAGCCTGTTAATTAACATTTTCTAAAAATAAAAATAATATGTTCTTCCTGCAAAGGGTAGCACAAAGAGCTAGACTTGGAGAAAGATGGAAACTTGTTTCTTCACCCCTGCATATGCACTATTTTTATAGCAAGATCTTGTTGTTCTACTGCACTCTAGATAAAGAGTGCTACTCTAGATAAAGCATGCTTGTGCAAGTCCTTGTTCCATGCATTGCTACTAGAAAGCTTTAAATACAAATCTTAGATCTTGGCTGTAGTTCTTTTAAAAAAAGGACTGTAGCTTTTCTGATATAAAACTCTAGAATGAAAAATGGGCCCTTAGATAATTGTGTTGTTGGGTCAATAGCATATTTTGTGCATCATTTGGAAAATCCTGCCTAGGGAGTTCCCTTGGCTACGTAGTACAGTTGTAGGAAATTATATGGAATCCTGGCAAAATTACATGCAGTTTCATAACATTTAGAACTGGACTGAGCAGGACACTGATCTATATAGTGTTAGGAAGAAAATGGTATTGGCAAGATCAGGGCAAAATGACCTAATAGGACTTCTTTTAATGTTGTGCCCAAAGAATACTGGGTTGCCAAATGTTTAAAAACAAGAAAAAGAAACTTGCAATAATGCTGTTTAATTTTATCTATTTTAAGGTAAAAGAGACTACTAATATTTTGCGCTTTGTCTGTGTTAAATTCAAAATCATCATCTTCATTATCTTCATCATCGTTTGGGAACTACAGAGCTGGAATGGACCCTGTAGATCATTGAGTCCAGCCCCTGTCAAGGAGGCACAGCGGGGAATTGAACTCCCAGCCTCTGGCTGCACAGCCAGATATGTAGCAAAGACATAGAGATGGGTTATGTATTATTAAGTTGTTTCAAATTCAGGACCCCATTTGCCAGTGTTTCCTCTGTATTAAGTCCTGAGAGATGGCTTACGAGTGACTTCTTTTAGTGGCATGCTAGAACCATGCAGCTTGTCCAGGGCTACACAGACTGGCTCTTCTCATGGGAAACGCAATGGGGAATCAAATATTTGAAAGGCTGTCATGCAGAGGAGGGACAAGATCTGTTCTCGACCATCCCAGAGTGCAGGACACGCAGCAATGGGCTCAAGCTAAAGGAAGCCAGATTTTGGTTGAATATCAGGAAAAACTTCCTAACTGTTCGAGCAGTACGACAGTGGAACCAATTACCTTGGGAGGAGGTGAGTGCTCCAACATTGGAGGCATTCAGTAAAAACTTAGATAATCACCTGGCAGATATGCTTTGATTGTATTCCTGCATTGAGCACAGGGCTAGACTTGATGGCCTTGTAGGCCCATTCCGACTTCAAGTTTCTATGATTCTATGATTGCGTCTCCTTGTTTGAGTAGCTGTGCTGCTGGATGTACAGATTTAGATGAACTGGGCCAATTGGTTTATGCCCATCTCTACAAGTAAAGCATTTGTGGAGATTACCTCATGGGTTTGGGAAATTATCTGGGGTTGACCTGTGATCCTTTGGGGTTCAGGGCAGACTTTTCCTTAGGTTATACTGTTCAGTGACCCTGAGTTTTGTTTTGGTGTGAATAGATGGGAATTCATTTCCTGGAATATGTGTCTTGACTCATTTTCATGAATCTGCTGATGTGGCTGGGTTGTTTTATTCTAGCAGACCTTGTAGCCCATCTGTTCTGTGTTTATGATCTTTTTGCAACCTGGATACTGTATTTTATGCCAGTGGTGTCAGGTAGACTCACAGTTCTGCAGTTTGGCCAAAGGGATGCCTGAGATGGCTTTTATATATATTTTTTCAGCCAACCTGGATACTGTGTTTTATGCCAGTGGTGTCAGGTAGACTCACAGTTCTGCAGTTTGGCCAAAGGGATGCCTGAGATGGCTTTTATATACTGTATTTTTTTTTCAGATCTATAAACTTGAGTTGTATAAACTTCATCTGTACCAGTATTTTTTCCTTAAGAGGGGCAACAAAAAAGAAGGGAAGGGGTGGTGTTTGGTGAGAATAGCATACAACACAAGTAGATTAAGATGGCCCACCTTCTCTGTTTGCTTCAAACTGATACATCAAGGATGGGCCAAGTGGTAGCCTTCCAGA